AACTGCTACTTCATCTGCTTGGCCAATAACTAGTGAAGCCATGTAATCAAGGTGGAAACGATCGCGTTGTTTGGTGTAGAGCGCTCAAAAGGGAGTTCAGGAACAACTGCTTTTAAGCTGCCAACTTGCCGCGGATCAAAGCGGCCGAAGCTCAAGCTAGTCTCCGGACGAGGTCCCGATAATGATCATATCGTCACACTGCATCTTAGAGCTTGTCAAGATGGTCACATCCACAGAGGAGGAGTCATAAGTCTCACTAGCAGTCTACATAGGTATTATTCTGTCTTGCATAGCTAGAGTATCACAGGTTATTCCAGAATAAAATAGCACAGATTCAGGATGATCAGAAGCACCTGACTCACTGAGCGGGGTTCCTTTGACCGCCTACCACCCCCGTGATCTGCACATCGACACTTATCAGGTGTGTCATACACTGATAATACCATATATTACGCGGGGCTGCTTGCGTTTGTCAGTTCGTCCTGTGTTTCGTTTTGTCATCTTGTGACTTGTGACTGTGTCTGCCTACCAGGTCGCCTCTGCTGGCTATTACTTACTGCTGACCTATCCTACCTTGTCTGTCTCCCTCACCTTCGTCATCCTCCATCTTCACCTCTTCCATCATCGTATCCTAACTCTGTCTGCTATTCATCTTCAACAGCGAGATAATCTCACCCAACCTCTAATTTCATCACGGTCTTCCGATCTCAACAACCTTCCGACCTCGTCTTATCCGTTATCCGCCCTTATCTATCGAGATGCGGTCGAAGTTCAAGGACGAGCACCCTTTCGAGAAGCGCAAGGCAGAGGCTGAGCGTATTCGCCAGAAGTACGCAGACCGTATCCCGGTATGCTCGTCGCCTTTAGTTTTTGGGAGAAATCTATGAAGATATTACATCTTCGAGTAGCAAGATTCACTCTCACCGCTTGTTCGGGTACTAACTAAGCTACCTCTTCCACAGGTTATCTGCGAGAAAGTCGAGAAGTCGGACATTGCTACTATCGACAAGAAAAAGTACCTAGTACCTGCGGACCTTACTGTTGGTCAGTTCGTCTATGTCATTCGCAAGCGCATCAAGCTTTCTCCCGAGAAGGCCATCTTCATCTTCGTGGATGAGGTCCTACCACCAACCGCCGCGCTCATGAGCAGTATCTATGAAGAACATAAGGATGAGGATGGCTTCCTGTACATCACGTGCGTTATTCCCCCTCTTTCGTCCCTCAAGACATGTATTAACTTCGTCTCTTCAGATACTCTGGCGAGAACACTTTCGGCGACTGCTGAGTATCTGTGGGCCCTTCTTACCAAATGTAATTCCCCGCACCGTCAAGGTGTCCGACTCACGGATCTACGTTTCGACTAGTCATGAAGTCGATTGATCTTGATCCATGATCAGATAGATGGACTGCTCGGGCTTTGCGGTGGTTATCTCTCATGTACGCAGGCGTTATATCGGGTGTGCAACGATTTTTTTCCTACTTTTTTCCAACGGACTTGACTGGCGAACTAGTTATGGCTTTGATGGCTTCTGGTGAATAAATTATCTCATGATCTTAGTTTGAATGCACTCCTTCTATTCATGAACAAGTTCCGAGTAGTTACTCCTTCACCCGAGACCTTCCTCGGCTTTGATTCATATCAGTATGCCAGCGTCAGTTCACCCAGCTTCGTGTGATTTCATGTCGTAGTTATTTTAGGTTGTTATGACCGAAGCCTGTTCCATGCCGTCTGCCTTGATTCTCTGTAAGGGAGACTGCCACCGTGCCATGGCCGAGGGTGTCTCTGTGATTTTATGTCCCGATGTCCCGCGAGACAAGAAGATATTCCCTAGCTATCCACGATCGAGCCTCAGAACCTAATCCAACCGCAGATATATTCTCATCAACTACGAAGCCAGGGCTGAACAGAGATACCAATGTATCCCGAATGGACTAGTCCAAGCTGCCAGTCCGATCTCGCCCCGGATGCCCAGTCCCATTCGGGATTAGCGCCAGAGACCTGTTTCCGCTCGGAGAAGAAGAGCGCAAGTGACTGATTTGCTTCATCTCTCTATCTTTTCTCCTCGCCCGGAGTTCTGTGTTTCCTTCTTATACTTCTTTTATAATTGGTTCTACTATCTGATTGCCAGTAATCAGTTTAATCTTGTTTCATTCCTTTCACGGACATTCTGTTTTGTTTCCGCTTTTTTTCCCTCGAATCTTTCGGAAGTTTTCCAGCAGCCAAAAACAAAATGTCTCCTGCCATCATCCAAGCCGGTGCTGGCTCTGCCTCTAAGGATGTCAAGAGAGAATCGGCGACTGCTCGTCTGCTGGGCTCAGGTATGTTCGCGCTCAAACTGGAGACCCATGATCAATGACTAACTTCCTGATCACAGGAACCGCCGGTATTGCCGAATTGATGGTTTTCCATCCCGTACGATCTCCCTCTAGCAAGACGCCAGTCGATCATTGCACATCTGAACTAATTCGAAACTCAGGTTGATACCATAGCGAAGCGATTGATGAGCAATCAGACACGGGTGAGTGACCGGCTTCTTGCGACTGCGGGCGGATTTGTGCGGAGTGGTTGACGGATACCATTACCAGATCGCATCCACCGAAGTCTTGAAGCAGGTCGTCTTCAAGGAGTACGCGACTGCTCCTATCGGCCGCAAGTTTACATCCCTCTTCCCCGGGCTGGGCTACGCTGCTGGATACAAGGTGAGTACAGATACGAACTTGCGTGATCCGAGAGTCCGTGAGCTGACAGTACTCGAAGGTCCTGCAAAGAATCTACAAGTATGGTGGTCAGCCTTTTGTTCGGGATTACCTCGCCAAGCACCATGGCTCCGACTTCGATAATGCTTTCGGAAAGGGAACTGGCAAGGCCATCATGCACGCTACTGCTGGAAGGTCTGTCTTTCTATGGGGACCGGGTGACTATATGTGCAGCTTTCGCTGATCTACAATAGTTTGATCGGTATCGGAGAAATCGTCCTTCTGCCCCTTGATGTTCTAAAGATTAAACGTCAGACGAACCCCGAGGCCTTCCGTGGACGTGGCCTCTTCAAGATCATATCCGACGAGGGTATGGGACTCTACCGTGGTGCTGGCTGGACTGCAGCTCGTAACGCCCCTGGATCTTTCGCGGTATGTTCCTCACAACTGGACCAGAACAATTTTGTATGGGCAGAACACTGACCGCAACATACAGCTTTTCGGTGGTTCCGCTTTTGCAAAGGAGTACATCTATAGCCTGAAGGACTACAACAAGGCCACATGGGGTCAGAACTTTGTGGCGTCCATCTGTGGTGCTAGCGCGTCTCTGGTCGTGTCTGCACCTTTGGACGTCATCAAGACTCGTATCCAGAACCGGAACTTTGAGCATCCTGAGTCTGGCTTCCGAATTGTGTCCAACATGATGAAGAACGAGGGATTCACCAGCTTTTTCAAGGGCCTGACTCCTAAGCTACTGATGACCGGGCCAAAGCTTGTTTTCAGCTTCTGGCTGGCCCAGACCTTGATCCCTGCATTCAGTCAGGTCGTCTAAATGTATAGATGGTTGGATTATTCTGAGCCTGTAATTTTTGTTGTTCATCTTTCTTCAAGGGCTTTTTCGGTGTGATGATAGCATTCATTCTGTTTTGATAGATTTGCTACGGGTCATTGGGTAATCAAAAGGAAAAAAAACTCCACTTAATTTTCAAGTCTTGAGCGTTGCAGAGGCATCTGGATAGGGTAGTTGTACTTTGATTTTGTGATGGATACTTATACATTGGATATCCAGTATGTTTAATTCATATAAGCCATTTGATCTCATTTCCACATAGCTAGTAAGGTAATTCAGATAACAGAAGCATTGGGTTTTCAAGCTAGACCTCTTCTTTTAAGGTGGTTAAGTGGTTCTATGTCGAGCAGTGTGAATATATAGTATCTCTATGCCATCCCGAAGCAAGAATCGATATTATCTAATTCTTGTAGGGCGTCCCAACGAGAGAGTCTACTGAGCCCTAGTAAGTGACTGCATTACTCAAGGATTTGACAAAAGAGTGAAGCAATTTGTATGCACTTGTAGAAGTGAATGGATGTAGGTCTCCTACCACGTGACCTATATATCTGCCAGCGCAAATAACGGATAAATCAAGCTACAACCACAGACAGCTACAGCTTCAGCCGATGGGATACGGTGTTTCAAGGCTGATACCTTGACGTTCAGAGACCATCTACACCAACACCGAGCGCTATAACAACAAAACAAGTCCATCATTATGCCGATCTACCTGATCTCCAAGTACGTGCATCCTGTCCGATGTAACCAACGTCCTGGAACCCCGCGAGCAACGAAAGACACGGCCTCGGACGCCGCCGTTGACATTGACATCGATACTAACAGCCTCGCAGATTTGCAGACCCCATCTTCGCCTTTACGATTGGTACCTCCGCCGCGCTGATTCGGATCCGTCGCGAGGAACGAGAGAAACATCCTGAGCGGGCGGGGGAGATCGGGTTTGGGACAATCGCGAAGAGGGGGGCAGATCGAGTCCGGAGATGGTGGGCGGGTGATTTTGAGGGCTTATAATGTCGGTGCTTTTTTTCTCTGCCTTATGGGTGAGAGCGGATGATTCGATATAAGTTTGAGTATGATACCTGTACACTACACTACGATACCCGAATGATGGACTCGAGCTCCTGGCTCCATGTCCGGTGACAACTGACATTTTCGCAAGAGTTGTGCAGCTTATTTACGTAGCATTGGTGTTAAAGTGCACCTACGAAAAATCTTACATGGAAAGCAGTTTTTGATAAGATTCCATTGCTCATTAGTCAGGACTTTTCCCACCGAAGCATAGTAAACCATAATGCATGGAAACAAACTAGAATCTATGCAGTCATCGCAAAAGAAAAGGATCCCATAAATTCGTAAAACAAGACATAAAAGGAAAAGCAAAACCCATTATTGCCTGTCCAGATATCACAAGGCAAAAGAGAAGAAAGGAAAGAAACATCGCTGAGCTAGACGTTTAGTCAAGCTCCTCCGGGCGCTCCTCGACCTCGTCAGCAGTGCGGGTAGCACCACCGGGGGCGGCACCGCCAGGGGCGGCGCCAGCGGCACCACCGTAAGCAGCGGAGATGATAGGGTTGGCAACACTGGGGTAAACGTTAGTATACAGTTGATACAGAAAGTAAAGGGATATAGATCAAACATACCTTTCAAGCTCCTTCTGCTGGGACTCGTACTCGTCCTTGGTGGCGGTCTGGTTGTTGTCGAGCCAGCTGATGATCTCCTCGACCTTGCTGGAGACCTTCTCCTTATCGGCATCGCTGATGTTGAGCTTGCCCTCGCTGATGGTGTTCTTGAGAGAGTAGGCGTAGGACTCGAGACCGTTCTTGGCCTGGATACGGGAAGCCTCGGCCTCATCCTCCTCCTTGTACTTCTCGGCATCAGCCAGCATGCGCTCAATTTCCTCCTTGGAAAGACGGCCCTTGTCGTTGGTGATGGTGATCTTGTTGGTCTTGCCAGTACCCTTCTCGACGGCAGAGACGTTCATGATACCGTTGGCATCGACATCGAAGGTGACCTCAATCTGGGGAACACCACGGGGGGCGGGGGGAATGCCGGTAAGCTCGAACTTACCAAGGAGGTTGTTGTCCTTGGTACGAGCACGCTCACCCTCGTAGACCTGGATGAGCACACCGGGCTGGTTGTCGGAGTAGGTGGAGAAGGTCTCGGACTTCTTGGTGGGAATGGTAGTGTTCCGCTTGATCAGAGGAGTCATGACACCACCAGCGGTCTCGATACCGAGAGAGAGGGGAGCAACGTCGAGCAGCAGGATCTCGTTGGTGGACTTGGAAGAGGTGTCACCAGACAGGATAGCAGCCTGGACGGCAGCACCGTAGGCAACGGCCTCGTCGGGGTTGATGGACTTGTTGGCCTCCTTGTTGAAGAAGTCGGCAACGAGACGCTGGATCTTGGGGATACGGGTGGAACCACCGACAAGGACGATCTCGTGGACGGAGGACTTGTCGATCTTGGCGTCACGCAGGACACGCTCAACAGGCTCCATGGTGGAGCGGAAGAGGTCCTGGCAGAGCTCCTCGAAACGGGCACGAGTGATGGAAGTGTAGAAGTCAATACCCTCGAAGAGAGAGTCGATCTCGATGGAGGTCTGAGCAGCAGATGAGAGGGTACGCTTGGCTCTTTCGCATGCGGTACGCAAACGGCGCAGGGCCCGCGCGTTGGTGGTGAGATCTTTGTGTAAAAAGTTAGCATGATGTCTTTCGGATGTGACTCTTCGATTTTTTGTGCTGGTTAAAATTTGAAAGAAAATGAAAGGAAATTCCACACGCGTCGCAATGGTAATCGCTATCTCCCATTTCGACCTTCTTCTTGTGGCGTTTTGTCGTGTTATGGAGTCTGAGTGAAGCTGCGTCCCGACAGGACACATTACAGGGATCGCAGTTATAAGTTTTCGCAGCGACAGCCTCCTGTTGTCTTGCTCGTGTCCTTTCTGTCTGCATGACGTTGTTCCGTTTTGTCCTCGCCCGAAATTCAGGGGTAGGGTTTGCACGCAGAGCTTTTCCATACTCGTGCTGGTAGGCACGGTCTTTCTCTTGAGAAGCTGCAGCCATCTGATCAAGTTGTTCCGGAGTATAGCAATCGTAATCGTCGAATCCCTCAATGAGGGGACTGTGCGAGCACAGCCCGCCCCATTCGAAGGACGATGGCAACCACAGGCACTTGGGGAATCCGTACGTCTTGTCCTTGGATAGCATACCCCAGAACACGTAGGAAAAGCATGCCTCAAGAATAAGGGTGACACAGCGAAACTTGCCAATTTCCAGCAGAGGAGGAATTGCCATAGAAACCAGCACAGAACTGTGAACAATGGTATAACCATTGTCTTTCGCCCGTCGCACATAATGGGGCACAGCCACTCCTTGCTGATGTTGCGAGATTCTTGCTCGGAGACCACGGTAGACTGCAGTGGAGGAACCCACGTAGACAAGGTCCTCACAACCAGTCTTCTGTAGAACAAGTATATAGACACCCCACACATCTTTGGGAATATCGGAAGAAAGGTGCAAAAACCACTCAAGTGGTGGAGGAGTTGCGGCAAGGAGGACTTGTTCCAATCCAGTACAGAATGTAAGCTGAGCAAGGACAAAGAGCTCTGTGAGCTTTTGTTCTGTAGACACAGTGGTACTGAACTTCGGGTTGATCCAGGACGTTTTTCCGTCGATGAGAGACCAACAGATGGTCCGTACCAAAGTCTGAATGTCGGTAGCGATCTCGGTTGCAGACTCGGTAGCGAACATCTTGTTGCCATGGCGAAAGAAGATGAAAAGAAACGGGGACGAGCGACTTTATCATTGCGAGCGTTGTAACACAGGGTGATTTGGGAAAGTGCCAAAATGGCAAGTGCGATGAGTGACCATAGGGGAAGGAGGGACAAAATGGGAAAGAGGGACCAGAGGAAAAATGCGACCGTGGGGAAAAAGTACTGACCACGATGATGCTTCCTTTTGAATTCGTTTACGAAGTGGTTAACAAGACGGTTGTCAAAGTCCTCACCACCCAGGTGAGTGTCACCAGCGGTAGCCTTGACCTCGAAGATACCCTCCTCAATGGTCAGGAGGGAAACATCGAAGGTACCACCACCGAGATCGAAGATCAGGACGTTACGCTCGCCCTCGGCCTTCTTGTCAAGACCGTAGGCAATGGCAGCGGCAGTAGGCTCGTTGATGATACGGAGGACGTTCAGGCCGGCGATGAGACCAGCATCCTTGGTGGCCTGACGCTGAGAGTCGTTGAAGTAGGCGGGGACGGTGATGACAGCGTTGTTGACAGTACCACCGAGGTAAGCCTCAGCGGTCTCACGCATCTTGGTCAGGACCATGGAGGAGATCTCTTCAGGAGTGAACTGCTTGGTCTCGCCCTTGAATTCAATTTCGATGACGGGCTTGCTGGCCTTCTCGATGACCTTGAAGGGCCAGTGCTTCATATCAGACTGAACCTCAGCATCTTGGAACCGACGACCGATCAGACGCTTAGCATCGAAGACGGTGTTGTGAGGGTTCATGGCGACCTGGTTCTTGGCGGCATCACCGATGAGACGCTCGGTGTCGGTGAAAGCCACGAACGAGGGAGTAGTACGGTTACCCTGGTCGTTGGCAATGATTTCAATGCGGTCATCTCTGAAGACACCCACACAAGAGTAGGTGGTACCCAAGTCAATACCGACAGCGGGAGCCATTGTGAATGAGAAGTGAGGGGTTCGTTAAGATAGGAAGAGGATATAGGAGTGAGGAGAGGTGATTAATGTACAGTCTCTAAGGGAGGAAGAAGAGAGACAACAGGAAGATAGAGTAATTCTAGTGAGAAGATTGTGTGTGTGAGAAAATTGAGTCTGAGAGAGTCAGGGAATTGTGCGAGAGATATAGTGGAGGGCGGTGAGTTCAGCTCCAGCGAAGCTTCTAGCAGGACGGAGCTTCGATGAGCATCCATCGTGTTCGACGGGCTTCTATCAGGGAAATTAGCTGGATCGGTCCAATTCTACAGGTGTCGCGATGATTGGTGTCAATTCAAGAATCATCAGGTCATGTTCTGGACCTTTCTGTTAGTTTACCAGCAGTTTCTCAACGGATTGATCTTCTATGTCTTGCAAATCTGGTCTCTGAGCATCTGGTGGAGGATGATTCCATGAGTAATTTTTTCTTCCCTTTTTAGGCTGCAGATGGCGGGGTCGCCGGATGACGTAATAATATTCCGAATTTTTTCTTTGTCTTGTCTGGCTACTACTTTCACTGAGGTACCATCTACAGAACGAGTTTGATAATATTCAGCATTATAATCACTGTATTGGAATCAATTGATTCAGCAGATAGACCTTCTCGTCATGATGACTCTTAGCGGAAAGCCTAATAGAGCAGCAGTTCCGTGGCTGAGACTCTTGGTTTCCGCCAGTGTCTTTGGTGGGGTATGGATACTTCTCCCCATTTCTTTCATCTGCCAGTCTGACGTTCACCAGTGCGGCGACTGCATCATACCTGGGTACTTTATTGTGCCACCAGGGTAGAGACGCCACTTGGACAGAACTAGCTACATCTGGAAGCAGTACCTGGAGATGGAAGCATATTACCTTCCCGCTATCTCCGTAGTTTCATGACAGCTTCAAGGTTTCAGTTTCTAGAGATCTATGATCGCAATTGACAGATTTGGCTTCCCTGGCCTACCTACATAGCTCTCAACTCCCTCAACCCCAGACTGGAGAGTTTTTCTCTCAAGCGCTTGAGCCCTGCCTGTTGGATATTTTGATATGGAGCACGGAGTGTACTGAGTTGATACTCATTACCTTCGAGATAGATGTTCGGTTGCCATGGTAACTGAAAGGAGATCTCGCGGTTTGCTCTTCTTCTTGCAGAAAGTCCTCTACATAGATACAAGCCTTGACTAGATAGACCCCTACGGAGAACACAGGTATTGAAACCACCGACAACCACTATTTAGACTGCATGCTCCTAGTCTTGGGTTGGTTCAGCCAAGGAGATCGTGTTCGACATTGAAGACCAACTCCTTATGACCGTCTCTGATTATGATCATTGCCTATCAGTCGTCTATAGAACCTTCCACAGTTGAAGTTTGTACAGTTTGACCAGCAATGGAGGGACGATGGACTCGTCTTGCACCAAAACATTCGGAAGCATAGAGAGTTAAAGACATCTGCTGATACTTGGTGTCTTGTCGGGTCCTCGACGATCAGATAGCATTAGAGAGACCTTTCAATCCAACATCGTGAGCTAGCTAACCCAGAACTAGGATAGTAGTCTTGAGTACGGAGTATTCCACCTGCGTTTATGCTCCCCCTTGTTGAGCAGGGGTATGGATTCTATGAGCCTCAGGCCGCCTTACAAAATCAATACTGAAAAGGTCTAGCGCATCACAGGAGCTGCGCTGATCAATCCGGAGATCAGCCAATCAGCGCCCGGCGACTTGAGGGGACAGGTCTTAGGTGCATCTCCCTTGCGGCTGATGTGTTTTTGGTTTCCTGTCCGCAGCTCTTGTTGTTATCATTCCTCTACGACAATATTTTCTGTCCTTGCACTCCGTACATTACTTAAGGTCCTTCTGTACTTCCCTCTCAAGCTCAGTTTGGAAGTCTCCTTGCAATTGCTTCTCCCTGTTTAAAACTTACTCATTTCCGTGACCTACTTCTTGCCTAATATCTGTGTTCGGAGACACTTCGAAACAAACCACAATGGGCGACGACCACCAGGCTACTCTCAGCAACGATCCTGCTGCCAATGCTCCCGATGCGGCCGCTGTGGACAAGGGCAAGGGCAAGGGCAAGGCCGTTGAGGAGCCTTCCCTGGAAATGAGCATGGACGAGGAAGAGGACAGTGATGAAAGCGAAGCCGAGGAAATGGTGAGTTCGCATAACCCTTTGTCATGTACTACTCAGACACTCAAGCTAACTCATCTACTCGTAGATGGCGGACGGTATGTGGCATTCTAAACCCAGATTTTCTTTTTCTCTCGTCTTTTGCTTTCTGGAAGACTTCAGGGGACATTCGCATGATTTCTGAAGGCTAGATCATGCAAATCTAACCATTCTACAGATGATGACGATGATGACCACGACAATCTCGAACCCATCTCTGAAGAAAACATCATTTCTTCAGGTCGTCGGACACGAGGCAAGACCATCGACTTCCAGGAGGCAGCCGAGAAGCTGAAGGCCGAGGATGAGATGGACGACGAGGACGATGACGATGAGGAATTCCAACCTAACGACGAGGACATGCGCGATTGATTAAAAGACGTCTTATGGAGCCATCAAATATCCTGGGAATGGGGATTATGAATGAGACATTCATGGCAGGCGCAGGTTCATTGGGGGCTTTCTGTTTCTTCCAGTTTAATCTTTTCCTCTTTCTAGTATGCGCACATACTGTGACGAAACAAATCTATTCACACCAAACTTGTAAACATCCTCACCCCGAAGACCAGAGAAGGCGATCCTAGTATGTGATCAGGGTGCTAATTTTTACACCCCTCTTCCCATCCCTATCCTCGCGTAAATACTTGCAGCAGCTGTACAATTCTTACCCTCCAAAATCAGATCTCCTTTTATTTGTCGATCAAATCCATTTGCAGGCCAGAACATTCAACATTTTGTACATCGTCACTCACGTGCGGCGGTTGAGCGAGTCACAGACACCCAAGTGGCAACTCCGTGTTGTTGTTTCGATTGTCTCGCCGCAAGCAGATCGCAAAGCTTCGTTCATACGATGCAGTTCGGTTTGAGATATACAAGCTAATCCTGCAAACTCTGCATACTGGAAAACTGATCATCATGCGCACAAATTAGCTGGCGGTGAGAATCCTTCGTCAATCGGTGTTCTCAGTGTCTCCTGAATTGCATCATTTCCCATTTACGACCATCTGTTATGTCTTCACGGTATGACCGATCAACGTTTACCATGGCGTCCTTGGATATCTTGTAACTAACTTGAGTTCTTACAGATTTCCACATTCTTCGCTTCATCAGCGCGATCCCCGCGCCTCTTCTTCTCTCTTCGATTCCTACGGCGGTGGTTCTCGACCCGCCAGCCGCTCACCGGCCAGCGTGGGCAGATATAGTTATGGGGGCTACTCTGCCTCGAATGCCGATGGTTACATGAACGGGGGCTCCACAGGTGGTTTCCGAAAGGCAACGCCCAATGCGAAGTGAGTCTTGCCCGCAAACACACCTCTCAATGCCGGTTTGATGCTCATGGGTCAAGGGGCCAATATTCCGACGCAGTCCTCGACCATCTCGAATCGCAAAATGACTCCCAGGTCGAAGGTATCAGTGCGAAAGTCAAGATGTTGAAGGATGTGAGTCCGTCATTCTTGCTGTTTATCCAGAGTAACATAACGAACGTGATGCTGATACTCCTGCCAGCTTACACTCGCCATTGGCGATGAAATCCGTGATACATCTACCATCTCAGAACTCAACGATGCATTCGACAACACTCGCGTCCGCCTCCGTGGTAACATGACTCGCATGCTTCGAATGGCCGAGCGTACGGGTGTTGGTTGGCGTGCATGGCTCGGTTTCTTCCTGGCTGTTTTCCTGATCTTCGCATACGTGTGGCTGACTTAGGCCCTATATCGGACGGACTGCCTACAATCGATAATTCCTGATGCCTCGACCCGGCGCCATTTTCGCTCGGCTCCATAGCACGGTGCACTACACCATGTACCCCTTGGCCTACGTCTACATAATAGCTCACACCCCCGGGCATACATAACTTCTCCCTATAATGTCTTCTACTTCACTGCTGCATAGGATATTCTGTGGCGTTCTCCGGCGTTGTATGTTGCACACCGTGCGAAAGCCATACTGAACACTATTGTTTTCCGTCAGTCTGCTATTCATTTTCTCGGCAATGTCATGTCACCACTTGGCGCATGAGTTGATATGGTCTTGAAGTGCATAAGGGTGGCTTATGCTATTCATCCATATACTTGTAATATCTTGGTCGCACGACATGTATGTATATATAATCTCATTGGGTAGGAGCGAAACTAGACGGGAAGTTTTTTCTTATAGATCTTATGTCTTCTCTTCGCTTCTATATCAGCAGAATCAAGTTGCGCGTCCAATGAATACCCTGTACCAACTCCGTCCCGTTGATGAACCTAGACCTTTAAGCCAAGCGCCGGAATTCCCGATAATCTAAAACAGTAACTATGCATACTTAGTACCTGGCAACCGTAGCTGTCTGTTATCCGGAAGGTTAGAGTCATTCAAGACGATCCCTTCCACTACGCCGCCTTGGAAATCGTCCAAACCCACTTTGGCGGCTTGCTTGGCTTGCCAACGACGCACGAAGATTACCGTCGTCGAACATCATGCCACTAGAGTCGATCGCGTCGCCGCCGCCGCTCCAGCGTTGTAGAAATCGCGTCTGGGCTGGCGTTTCCCGGCTGGAACGGGCGGATGGCGGTGGCAGGCCACGGTTGCTGGATATGCTGGCTCGAAGACCCTGTGCAGCAAATTGGTCATGCGAGAAGCTCTGGTCATCTTCGTCGTCAAACTCTGCATCGGTGTCGGTGTGCTGCCATTCTTCTTCCTCTTCCGGTCCGTCCTCGGCGGCCTCGGGAACCAAGTTGTCCAGATCACGCTCCATCCCGAATGCTTCTTCGTCGTCATCTTCGACTATGTCGCTCATGTCTTCGCCCTCGTAATCATCTGCTGCGCTGGGG